TAAGATTTTGATGAAAATGAACAGTAATGACTATTCATTTTTATTGTGTGAACAAATAAAAGAAACAAATTTTCTTCTCAATTATTTCTAAATAGAAAAAGAAATAGAAAGCAAGCCATAGAGGGTTAGAACAATATGATGGTGCATCAATTATAGAGCGTCTTCAACTCTTTAAGACCTGCCATAGAACAATTCTGCCACATGTCATAGTCATATTACATGCTGTGCTACTTTTGAGTGTTTTTAAATGTTATATATCAATACAGTCCTTCATCTCCCAATTTGAAGGCTATTCACAGTATGTAATACATCCATAATAGCCAAATAAATAGCTCGAAAAAGCAATGAATAACAATACAACATTTTTCCCAACTTATTTTTATTAAATTTGGAAATATCGCAAATGACAACCTCAAACTAGTCACTATGAATAAAAGCATGGCCTAAAACATTTTGAAATGTCATACAATTCATTTGTAATGATTAAATAAATTGTGAAATATTGTGATAATATTTGTGAAAAATGATTATTTTTTAACCAGTGCATTGTAAAGTCAAACAGGGTTGCATTTCCCAAACACGTGAACACAGCTACTGCGCTCGTGCATCCAGGTTAATCATGAACAACTCAGTGCGCATGCGCTAGTTGCACTATCACGGTCTGATTATGTTTCAATCAAGGTTTATATGCATCAAATACATAAAATCTGTGCCAAACATTTCAACTGGCGAACATATTAACAATAATACAACGTATAGCCGAATTAAATGTATGCATTGGCATGTTACAGCTCTAATGATTAACATCACTAGCCTGTTTTTTTTTTAACGTCACAAACATTGTAACTAGAATGATTAGCATGCTACTACCATGTTAGCATGATTCGCCTGTTGTTAGTATAATTAACATTTTACTGGCATGCTGTTAGCATGTGTATTGTTTCTAGAATGATTAGCATGTTGCTAGAATGACTACCATATTGCTAGCATGATTAGCATGTTGCTAGAATGATTAGAATGTTCTCATGGCATTGGTTGCATGATTAGCATGTTTCTAAAATGGTTGAAATGTTACCACAATGTTGTTAGTATGACTAGCATGTTTTTAGAAGAATTACTACCATGTTACTAGCTTGATTAGCATGTTTCTAGAATGATTAGAATGTCCTCATGACATTGGTAGCACTAGCCTGTTTTGCTAATATTATTAAAATATCACAAACATTGTAACAAGAAAGATTAGCATGTTACCACCATGTTAGCATGATTAGCATTTACTAGCATGATAAGAATTTTACTAGCATGTTGCAAGTATGACTACCATGTTGTTAGCATGATTAGCGTGTTTTGCTTGAATGACTGGCATGTTGACAGCATGATTAGCAAGTTTACACACACACACACACACACACACACACACACACACACACACACACACACACACACACACACACACACACATTACCCACCAATCAGGATGAAGGCCAGGCCGATGATGAAGGTCAGCACATACGCTCGCAGCGGCTCTTTGTTCTTGCCGTATCCTTTAGCAAACACGTGGATTCCTGGGTAGATTTTATCTTTACACAAAGCCTAAAAACACATGAAACATCTCTATCAACACACAAACAACACACAGAGAACACAGTCATGTGACCGCAGGAATCATCATTAATGTGTGGCAGACAGTTCACCCTGACACTGCATTTAATCTGTAATGTGATGAGTTTATGACAGCGGTTTCCTGCAGAGACACTGACTCTGAGTGCATTCATCCTGATTCTGTTTCTCAAATAATATGAAATAATCCACATATCTTAACCGAAAAGTTTCTGCACAGATCTTTATCTATAAATCCACACGACACATCTAACATCACAGTGCTGTGCTTCAGTTTACAATAAATATAAGATTTGAATAATTTGCGATCTTATAATATCACTAAACATACCGCATTCTCCAATGTTATTAAAGTGATATTAAAATAGTAAATATTGTGAGTAATGAGCAAGTGTGAGCATCATGTTCATGTTGTCTGACCTGGAAGACTTTAGGAGCGCTGACCAGAGACGCCAGAGCAGAAGAGAGCGTAGCGGAGAAGATTCCAGCGGTGATCAGCGGCCCAAACCCAGACACCAGACTCATCACCTGACAAACAGATAATCACCATCATCACCATCATCATCATCATCATCATCATCATCATCATCATCATGAA